AGTTCCAGACCAGCCGAGGGCTGCATAGTGAAACCCTGGCTTTAAAAATCAAAAACTTTCTCCTAACAAAGGGCATTTTCAAAAGTCTCACAGCTCTTCCCACAACAGTGGCCAATGACAACACTGCCAGCCCATGGAAACCTGACCTCTTGCTTCTGTGCAAGACTCTAAGACAGTATCTTTATTTTTTAAATATATATTTTATTATTTTTATGTGTATGAGTGTACTGGCTACATGTATGTGAGTGCATCCGTGTCATGCAATGCCGCGGAGATCAGAAGAGGGCTTCATATTTCCCTGGAACTGGAGTTGAGGACGGTGTGTAGCCCCCGTGTGGGTGCTGGGAATCGAACCCGGGTCCTCTGCAAGAGCAGTCAGTGGTCTTAACCGCTGAGCCATCTCTCCAGCCCCCTGAATTTCTTTTTAATTTTATGTGTATAAGTTTATTGCATGCATGTGTATAAGTGCACCTGTGCCGTGCAATGCCCTAGGAGGTCAGAAGAGGGCATTGGATCTCCTCAAACTACAGTTATGGGCAGTTGTTAGCCATGTGGGTTCTTGGAACTGGACCCAGGTCCTCTGCAAGAGCAGCCAGTGCTCTTAACCAGTGAGCCATCTGTCCAGCCCCTCTGAATTTGTTTTGATGCACCGTTTGAGGAAGAAGAAGAGGGAGAGGACACTTCACCCCACAGTTCTTTATCTCCAGCTTTATTTTCTTCTCTTCAGCTGGGTATTCAGAATTGTTCGAAGTTTGGGCCATTGAGATGGCTCAGCTTGTAAAGCTGCTAGCCACCAAGTCTAATGACGTGAGTTCTATACCTGTGACCCACATGGTGGAAGGAGAGAACTGACTCCCACAAATTGTCCTCTGACCTCCACACAGCGCTGTGGCACAAATGCCCTTTCACACACAAGTACCCAGGTGCATATACATGGAAAATACAAAACAAAACCCCTCAGAATTTTATTTTCCTACCAGTAGGGGGCAGAATTATAACTTGTACCAAATGTACTAAAAGTCTTGTTTTACTTCTTGCTACAATATTCTAGCTTGAAGTCACACCCTTTTCCTAAAGTTTCTACTCATGAATATTATTTTGTTTTTAAAGGCTATATTTAGGTAAATACCCAGGAAGATGATTGTCTGATCTTATTTCATTTTATGACAACATGAATTATGTAATAGTAATATTGAAATGAAAGAATCCATCTAGAGTGTGAATGGTCCTCTCTGAAAGTGAGGAGTACAGATGACTCTATGGTACCACCATTCACACAAAAGTAATGTTAAAGCCTTAATGTATAGAGAGGCGCTTCTTTCTGTACTCCAACAAAGTGATGCATAAGCATCTTAGTTTTTAATTTAATTCTGTTTCTTTTCCTATAGACTGCTAAGGAGCTGGGATGTTGATTCAGAAGCTTGGTTAGAGAGTGGAATAAGTGGGATGAGAAACAGCACAGAGCGAAGAAAGCTCTCAGCAACAAAATCAGTTGGCCTGGTCAGAGAGCTAAAATGAGAATGTAGTTGTATCTGTTCAGCCTAGGAAAGCTTGCAAGAGTCCGAGAAGGCCAGATGAGTGGCCTTCCTGGAGACGAGGAGACTAAGTAGAGAGGAAAGGCAACAGCACTCAGAAGACTCCTGGAGATGCTTGGTAAGGTGGGATTAAGAAGATGTTAAAGGGCTCGTTGGATACTTTGTATTTTGATTTGGTCTTATTAGTATTGAGGTATCCTGGAGGTTAAAAAACAAAGCAAGGGGCTGGAGTAATGGCTCAGAGGTTAAGAGTGCTGACTGCTCTTGCAGAGGACCCGGGTTTGATTCCCAGAACCCACTTGGCTACAAACCATCCTTAACTCCAGTTCCAGGGGAACCCAATGCCCTCTCCTGACCTCCACGACATTGCACGACACGGGTGCACTCACATACATGCAGGCAATACACGCATATACATAAAATAAAAATAATAAATAAAAAATTTTTTAAAAGTAAGGCCAAATACTTTTATGGGAAACTCCTCATAGGCCAAAATTTGATGTAAAAAATAATACATTTTGGTGGCATAGAAGGGAATGAAGAGGTCATGGTTGTTAGGGCAGAGTCTTCCCTCCGAGACTGTGATAGTCAATTTGAATGATTGGGTTTTAGTTCTTAATCTTCCACAGCCCCACCCATGCTCATTTTCTGTCACAGCACTTTAGGTGTTCTTCCTGGGTGAGTTTCCACATTAGTCCATCTACACAACATGCCTTTGAGCTTCAGTTGTCATTGGGCTTGGCAAAATAGCCTGAGCTCATGTGTTCAGGATCTGAAATAGTTTGGTGTGTTTACATTAAATTTATTTATAAGCAGACAAAAATAGAAAGTAAGATTATGACTTTTTTTGTAGACAGTTTTGTGTTTAATAATTGACATAAGATCTGATAGTATTTCACATTTAACCCCATGAAAAATGATGCAGATTGGCTTTGCCTAGTGTATATGTCCTTTTCTCTTCTTTAGGGGTAGACAGAGCTTGGACACTTAATTTCCATATATAATCCAAAAGTTGTTTTTGTTTCTTTATTTTTTAATATTTTGTTTGTTATTTTTATGTGTATGAGTGTTTTGCTTGCAGGTGTGTAAGTGCACCTGTGTCATGCAATACCCATAGAGGTCAGAAGACAGCGTCAGATCTCCTGGAGTTATGAATGGTTGTTAGCTGTCATGTAGGTGCTGGGAATTGAACATGGGTCTTCTGCAAGAGCAGCTGGTGCTCTTAACCACTGAGCCATCTCCCCAGCCCCCTCTCTTTTACTTTATAATGCCGAGTAGCTATTACTAATTAGTAACTAATAGTTCTCTCTAAATACAGAAGAATTGAGATTTTTTTACTTTCTTTGACTTTTCCATTCATCAGAAGTGTTTACAGAATTTAAAAACCTAGGCTGCAGGACTCAGGTCCCTGTTTCCTTGCTGACTGTTAGCCAGCGGTGACTCAGTTCCCATTCTGCTTTCAAGCCCTTTGACTCACTGTCCTCTCACACCCCTTCACAGTGAACAAGCAGTCACGTGAACCAAGGACTGGTTATTCTGTGGGTCTCACCCACACTCAAGGTGGGGAATTACAGAGATTTGTTTACCTGGGGGCAGGATTTTGGGGGCCATGGTAGGATTCTCTACGGAAACTTTTTTTTCATCTTCAGTAATGGTAAAGCTTGAATGAATGCTGCTTTGTGGTCTACTTTTATCCACTGCATTGGTTACATGTCCTTCAGTTGTGGGAGCTTTGTGTCTATTTCAGGAGGATGTTTCCCATTTCCTCCCTTCCCACTTTCTGTGACAGGAACATCTTAGAGGAGTCCTTCAGTTGGTTCCACTTACTCTCTCCTGTCTTCCATCTTTCTTTGTTCTGCTTTCTGGGAGGTTGTGCGGATGTAGTGTCTTCTCATCTCCCTGAGGTCATCAGTGTGGTTGCAGAATCTTCCTTCTTCACCCACAGTCTGTTTCCTTCATGCTATTAATTTTTGTGTTTGTTCTGGTCTCTGTCTTTCATATTAGAGATGTCCCTCAGATGTTTGTTAATCCTTGTATATCTATTTTGAGTTATAATTTGAAATTTAAAAGTTGATTGGAAATTCTGAATGTTGGGACCTTTTGACTAAGCTCTGCAGGGTGATCAGGCCTGGGCTGCTTTTTGGTGGACCCCGTTGTCACTATCTTTAGGCTTGGCGGATGATTCATGATTTCACCAAAACCACCTTCCAGTCTTCTGCTTGAAAACAGAGGTCCGGCTGCTGGCATTCTGAGAGCTGAGTGGGGAGAGGCCTTAGGGGACACCTCACTTTTCTGTGACTTAATCCCCTGCTGTGGGGCTGGTCTGCACTGTTATGCTGTTGACCTTTGCTGGCGTAGGGAAGACAGTTGCCTAAACTCATGGGGGCAATCTAGAGATCTAACCACTTCTCAAAAATACATATCCCTCAGGTTAGAGACTTCTGTCGTTTCTCTTCTGATATCTTTTCCCATTTCATTGTAAACCAGATGCCAATAGCTCCTGAGCAATTTTAGGATTATGTAGCTGAAACATGTTCCTTTCTTTTCTCCTTCATGGCTTAGGGTTTTGCTTTGTAGAATCTCCTAGTCAGTTACTATTCTGTTCTCTTACTTTCAAAATAATGACTCTTTTTCTGTTTTCTTTCTTCACGTGTATGTGTTTATCTCGTTAAAAAAAATTCTACTATCATTTTCCTGGGATTCCGGAGGGACTGAAATTAGCCATATGTATTCATTCTGCTGCTTTAAAAATCTGTTGTATCTTCCTTGTGGCTTTGTGAAATGTCCTTTTCTTTTCAGAGTCTCACTATGTAGCCCAGGCTGGCCTCCAACTTTTGATCTTTTTACCTCAATCTTGCCCAAGTGCTGGGATTACAGGTGTGCACCACCATGCTCGGCTCTATATTCAATTCTTATATGAAATAATTTATTCTCTAGCTGTTTGTATGATTTGATATATTTAACGATCAGTATCATATTTGTTTCTGCTTATTTTTGTTTCTTAATATGCTAGTTTCTTATGGTTGCAATTTTGTACTAAATTCAAAATAAAATCTGTTAGCTTTATAATGTTTTAAACTATACATTGGTACAAGGTACTTTGGAAGCATTAAATTTGGGAAGTTACTGGGCTATTTTTATTAATACTGGAAATTATTTTGCTGACTTTTTTTGTTGCTGTTGTTTGTTTGTTTTGGCTTTTTTGTTGTTTTTGGTCTTTTTGAGACAGGATCTCCCTGTAGCCCCAGCTGGCCTGCAACTTGCTATATAGACCAGGTTGGCCTTGAACTCATAGAGATGAGCCTGCTCTGCCTCCCAAGTCCTGGGATTAAAGGCATGCGCCACCACGCCTAGCATATCACTATTTTTTAATCATGACTTTATTAGTGAGACTTAGACTTTTAAGTCCAAGTACTGGATTATCATCACACAGTGAAGGTGTTTTGTTCTGTTTTCTAAATGAAGACTGAAGTAGCTGAGGATCCTCAGCAGGTTTCAACTGCTCATCTCCAGCTGGGCCTGCCACTGGTTTTTATCATTAGCCAACAAGCTACATACAAAGCTGATAGAACAACTGCAGAGTGGGTTGCCTGGCGTCTCCTGGGAAAAGCTGGAGTTCTACTCCTGTTAAGGTATCTTACATATTGAATAGTCACAGTACCTTGAAAACACAATATTTTCCTTCTTTTTAACATGGCAATCTAATCATAAAATCTCTGAAATCTCTAATAGATTCTGTTATAGTTATGACTAACTGATGGGCTAAAGTCTGTATGTTAGTTATGAGCTTGATTAAAATTAAAATGCAGACTAGAAAATCAGGCTTGTATTTATACATGGAATCTCTCAAACTTGTTAAGTTGTAATCTTTTATTCATAAACATTTTTAGTATAAAAACTTATAGTTCTGTTTTAGATTGACATATGGCATTACTTACTATTTTTTGTGTTACCAACATAAAACATTTATGTCCATTTTTAAAAGGGACTCTTTGGAAGTGAGCATTCCTGAGCGTGCTAATGTGGTCTTCAAAAGAGCAGAAAAGGTTAGTCATTTATTTCATGCACTGGTCTATAATGTCACTTTATTTAGCCATGTAGTACATGTGGTCTAAAGTAATAACATGTTTATTATGGGACAGATCTTTAAATTGTCTTCATTCATGTAATTGCTGTTAATGTTGTTCTTTTTTAATGTCTCTTTTCCCATGTTCATATATGTATAACTTTTTTCTTAAAGTTAGGTCTATATCCTAGTTTTACCTAAAATTATATTTAATTATTTATACATTATGTAATGTTTGCCCTTGTAAATTGTTTTGACCATCACTGATTCCCTTTTTTTTGTTTTGTTTTGTTTTTGAGATAGGGTCTCACTGGGTAGCCTTGGCTGGCCTGGAGCTCCCTATGTATACCAGGCTGGCCTCCTTACACTCACAGAGATTGGCCTGCCTCTGCCTCCCGAGTGCTGGGATTAAACACATGCATAACCACAACTGGCATTGATTTATTCTTTTGGCAAAGTTTCTGAAAGCAAAATTGCCAAAGGAAATAAGATTTGTAATTTTATGTTCATAGCTCAGTAAGAAATTGAACTTTTCAGAGCAGTTATCTTAAAAGAAGTATTAGTTTTTTTTATTTCTGTGGAGTGCAATAATAACCAATTTGATTGGTTCCATTGGCAATAAATTATTATATATTCCTGTTTGTCTTGAGTTTTATGTAAGAATTTTCACAGACATTAGTTGTCACAAAAAGCAAGTGAAGTTTTTGGTTCCTCTTGTTCTCTCATAACCCTGCTGGTGGGATGGAAGAGAGGGGCCTCACACCCTGCTAGTGGGAGTATAAACTGGTGCAGCTGCTATGGAAATCAGTGTGGATAGTCTTAAGAAGAAACCTAAAAATAGGGCTGGGGAGATGGATCATTGGGTGTAGTGCTGGCTGGCTGGATGAGTGTGATGACCCACATAAAGCTGTGCACAATAGTACTCGTCCATCTGTCCTTTTCTGATGAGGTGAGAGGAGGAGACAGAGAATTGTCAGAAGTTCACATGCCGCTAACCTGGGGTACACAGCAGCACACGGCAGAGATAGTGTGCAAAACAAGGGTGGAAATCGAAGACCAGCCACTGAGGTGGTCTTCTGATCTCCATGCATTCACCAGTGGCACCCTCACATATGCACAAATGCTCACACACCTTATATACACCCATCATAAACACATACCATTATACACAAAAGCACAGAAAGAAATCCAGGGAATGAAGAGATGGCTTAGTGGTTAAGAGTGCTCTTGCAGTGAGCCAGAGCTCAGTTCCCAGCACCCGTGTGGGACAGCTCACAACCACCTGTAACTCCAGCTCCAGGGGATCCAGTGCCCTCATCTGGTATCTGTGGGCATCCTCAGTCATGTGCATATACTTATATCTATACACATACATGTACATAAATTAAAAATATTTTAAAAAGTGAAATGTAAGCACACCACAAGTCAGCACACCACAGAGATAGAACCTGCACATCCATGTTGATTGTTGCACCATTCACAATTACTAGGAAATGGAATCAGCCTAGATATCCACCAAAAGAAGAATAAAGAAAATGTGGTACATATATAATATTTTTTTTTCTGGGGCTAAAGAGATGGCTCAGTGGTTAAGAGCACTGGTTTGTCTTGCAGAAGACCCGGGTTTGAATCCCAGCACCCATAGGCAGCTAACAATTGTCTGTAACTCCAGTTCCAGGGGATCCAATGCCCTTTTCTGTTCTCCATGGGCACTGCATGACATGGGTGTGCTTCCATACATGCACAGGCAGTACACTCATACACATAAAATATAAATAAATTTTTTTTCATTTGTTAAGAAAAATGAAATTATGACTTTGCAGGAAAATGGATCAAACTGGAAATTATGTTAAGTAAAATAAGTCAAACACAGAAAGTTATATTTTGCATACTTTTTCTCATGCAGAATCTAGATTTAAGTGTGTGTGTGTGTGTGTGTGTGTGTGTGTGTGTAACTCATGAAGCTAGAAAGGAGAGGAAGAGATCTTAAGGGAAGGGGAAGAAGGGAAAAGAGTGAAAACGTCTGTGATATGAAAATAGGGAGGTCGTGGACCAGCAAAGAGGGCGAGAGGAGGGCGAGGGCAGTACAGGAGGATGTAAAAAATGTTCACGTGATGATACCCATCACTTTATAGGCTAACTTAAAAAATTGAATAACATTTCTAGGACGTGCCAGTGGAATTTCTGGTGTTCGATGATGCTGACTCAATAGTCTCCCATGTGAAAAATAATATGTACTTTGAAGAAACACAGGAAGATGAAAACGAAGACATGGAAGGCCCAGATCTGGGTGAGAGTTGTAATACTGCCACCCTTCCTATCTAATACATGGCAATACAATTGCCATTACCTGTACTTTTTATAGACTCTGTTCTTATTCAAGAGTCTGTGAAGAAATCTGGGGTTATTTATCTGGAATCACAGTTTATCAAGTTGATTGTGTGAACGGATATAAGGGTGTTTATTTGATTTCATGTATGCCTTTGTTGTACATTAGACTTCTAGCTTTCCACATTTATGCCTTTGTCTTTGAACATCAGTTCTTTTAGCCCGCTTGGCCTGCTCTGTCTTCAACAGTTTGTCCCAAAGCCAAGGCACATTTCATTTTTATTGTTCCTACTAGTAAATGTAATTGTAATTGACATCATTGTGTTTGTAGTTGTAAATGAGTCTTGTTAACAGTATAAGGAGTAAATTTCAACGACATTTGCTGTTTCTTTTTACCAGTTATTTCTGGCTTTTATTGCTCTTACTGCTGATGTTTAGGAAGTACACTGTATTCCTCAAGGCTTTCCCTCAGCCTTTGCTCTTTTTGATTCTTGTCTCCTGAAAGAGCTAACCTCACCTTCAATTTATAAATGAAGAATCTGTTTCTACAGTTTCATGACTTGCCTGAGGTCACATCACTGGCAAGTGGTAGAGCCTGGATGCGGAGCCTCAGCATCTTGCCATGAAATTTACCAGCTGTCATTATCCTCCCTAATACTTCTTTCATGACTTTACCATATTCTGTAATTACTTATTTGTCTTTCTGTTTGCTCCCCTAGGATATAAATATCTCTGAATCAGGGATTGTGGCTTACTGGTCTTTGTGTCCCATTTAGTGAGTACTTGAGTGCTTTATGTAGTATTGTCATCGCTCCAAGAAGAATCTCTTCCCGGGGTCCATCTGTTACTACAATCAGCATGTATATTAAAATTGTAATAACCTTACTCTTACCAGTGCTGGTTTGAGCTGAGCACTAGTTCTTTTTTTGGTGTGTAGAGGTTAGAGTTACATGTGCTTCTCTGTTGACCTCTTCTAACTAGATTATGTGGACAGACATGGGTTCTGCCCTTTGCTTCCTGCTCCATTCTTGTTATGCTACTAGGATCCTATTGTCAGAGTTAGGATGCTTGTTCCTGTCTCAGTTTAATAAGATTCGTGTCCTTGCTGGGAGCTGCCTGTTTTCAGATTTCCTTGTGACCACCCTCTCAGTTGCTTCATGTCTGGCCCTAGTTTGCCTTCTGGTGTAGACTGTTTTCTGTGCCTACCTTCTGGCTCCATCCTGTTGCTAGTATTTCTTTTGCAAATAGGCCTTTTTTTCCATTTTAAAGTCCTCTTGTCCATAATCCACATTGGCCCTTGATACTGTATATTGTCAGGCCCATATGCATAATCCTCTCTCGTTAAGAGGGTTTTAGGAAAGAATTTGTCAAGAGACAAGCACCTCCCTTCAGGAATGGCTAAAGCATGGATAAGAATGGAAAAGCCTAAATTCCACAAAAAGCACATAAAACAGAAAGAAAAGTGAGTAAGCAGTGTATGGTACACACGGAAGTGAACCTTCAGTAGTTTTGGTATTGAGGGTAGAACTTTTTTAGGATAATGGGAGGGGGGTCCAGCTCTTAAATGCAATGTACTTTTAGATTTCATAAAGCCCAACATTGAATATTGTGATCCATGGAGTTAATGCGTATTGTATAGTTCAAAATGGCTGATCTGAAATCCAAATATAGAATTACCCATTATATTAGAAAAATGTATGGAAAATAAAATTCTAGTTCTCTGAGTGCATTGACTTCTTCCCCTTTTCTCCTTTTCATGTACCATCACACAGAATTATGAACATACCTTAAAGTAGACAGGATAGTAAAACAAATTTCCTGACTTCCATTGCTTGGCTGTCACCATCAACCTGTGGCTAATCCTGCCCCCACAACTCCCCACCCTGTTGTTTTATAGCAAATCCCAGATGTATCATTTCACCCATAGATGTTTATCTGTGTATTTCAGAAAGTTACCATATAATTTGTACAAACTTCAAACTATTTACAAATTCAAAATGTGTTTTTACTACATACTTGCATGAGTGGGTAGATAGGTAGATAGATCCAGGATCTATCATTCTTTTTTTTTTTTTCTGTCTTTTTGAGACAGGGTCTCCCTGTAGCCTCAGCTGGCATGGAACTCACTATGTAGACCAGGCTGGCCTCGAACTCACAGAGATCTGCCTGCCTCTGCCTCCCGAGTGCCAGGATTAAAGGCGTGAACCACCATCCCCAGCAGATCTAGGATCTTTCAGTCTGGCAGTCTGTTGCCTAATATATTGAAATGAATGTTTTCACATATTTATAATATGTTCATAACTTTATGTCCGTAGCATAAAAATCCAGAATTCTTGGCTCATATTCCCACTTCCAGTCCAGACACCGCTTAGCCTAGTTTTCTCATGCCCTGTGAGCTTTGCAGCTCCATCTTGCTTTGGTCCTTTCCCTTCTTTTAGTGCTGAGCTCTTTTGTGTCTCATGGGAATGTTACTCTCTTTGTATAAAACACTCTTTTTTGATTCTTTCCCTGGTAGACTTTGGATCTCCTAATCTAAATTTCCCCGTTAGAATCCCTCACTGTATATTTTACCTTCAAACTGATCAGAGTTTGTAATTATCTCTTCAGTCATTGTAGAGTTTATTGTCTAAATTTTCCATTGATAGAAAGATAGTGTCTGTTTTTCAATTACTTATCCTAATGTCTGCCACAATGCTTGGTATAGTGTAGGCTCTAAATAAAAACTATGAAGTGTGTATAACAACCTCTTTTAGGATTCTAAATTAAAACATTGATGAGAAATATTTATATTATCA